CCCGAAGAAAAAAGGGAACCCGTGATTCTCTGTAAATTATTCTGACACTTATTACACTAGAGACCAGAATGTAGCTGTGACCTAGCTAGCTAGTCTCTATAACCGCATTGCATAAAGACATGACCATATCTCTCCAGAAATCTCTCTTTTCCCTGGTCTCTCTCTTCTTCTTTTAGAGAGAGAGAGTAGAGAGAGAAGAAGAAGATTGAATAATGTGTGTGGCTTGGCTCCCCTGGTTTTCGCCACATCTTTAGCGGACTCCTCTCATGAGAAAATCATTTCACTTTGTTTGGCCTTCCCTCCAAATTCCATTCATTCATTATTTAATCATGAGCTCAATTGTTGAAAATGAAATCTACATTAATGAAATTAAAAAATTTACATCTGCTAGACTGCTTATAATTAATTGAGATGATCTTTATATTGTCAATTGGTATTATGATGAAACTTCAACTTTCTTCATCGTATCAAAGCAGGTTGTCACATGTGTGAAACAAAACGGTCACATGTGCTCCACGTCACTTGATGTATATTCTCAACGTGTTAGGCTTGAAAACTTGTATCACATGAATGGACGTGTTGAGAGTATATTAATCCCACATTAATGGGAGGAAGAACCTTAAATGTGCTTATACATAATTAAATTATTCCTCATATTATCAATTAGTTTTATAGTCAACCTCAACTTTCTTCGTCCATCTTATATACATTTGCTTTTGTTTTCTCATTTGTGATTTTTCTAATTAATTTTCATAGCGCACTTTGGTCAACAACTCTACAATCTTTTATACATCTTCTATGAACTCCCTTTATCAGTTAAAATTCTTTTTCAAGATCCACTTTTAACGATTAGTTTCAAAAACATTTTCATCAAATACCCTTTCAGTCATTTTAAAAATACTTTCAAACGAGCCTAAAGTAACATCTCCCAAATTCAGTCTAGTTGATTTCAAATTTTTTTTTCTTTTTCTAATAGGCATTGGAATGGATATACCATGAATAGTTGAACTCATTTGATGGAAATTATAGAATGAATACACTAGTCTTTACCATCTAACTTCTGTTTTACATTAATATCAATAAAAGTTTGTGATAATGTTTTTTCATGTTATAATAAAAAGGATCGTCCAATCTAATTTGAACTACTTCGAATTGGATGGGATATTAAGTAGGGATTGTAAAATTCGCAATTAAATTATTATCTTCAAATATATATTAAGTTTAGGACCAACAAACACTTCTAAGATTATTTTTTTATAGTAATTAAAGGCATTCGTTAACAAGACATATTTGACCGATGAACTTGATTTTACAATTTAAACTAAGTAATTGAAAATATGGAATTATTTAACAGTCAAATACATGTCGATACCAAGGATTTTTAAGTACTTAAGAAAACTTGTGGGTAAAAGTACTGTTACTCAATCTACAAAAAGAATTAATTATCTAACTGACTATAATATTTAGGGGCTTTTAGATCTAGGTCCAAAATCACAGAGTATTTTTAGGAGTGAGTCCAGTTATCTAATTATATGTATTTATTTCTTTTATACTCATTTAATGTTTTCTAAAAATATTAAAAATCGATTAAAATCTTTTAATATTATGCATTTTCCAACTCCAAAATATCTAATTAATATCTTATAACAAAAAAAAACTAATATACTAACATAAATATATCTACAAAACATTCTACCTTAACTCAAGTAGCAAATTTATGAATGTATATTATATCTATAAGCGAGATATGAAACCTAACTAAAAGGTATAAAACACAAAATATACCTACAAGCAAGACACATTAATCTGCGACAGTTTGACTATGAAAAAAATCTGTCATATAGGTAGATAAATACAATTAACTTGTAATATAGGTTTATTATAAAAATTAAAATAAAATCTATAAATAGGATAAAGCAGAGGAAGAACAAGAAATAACAAGAAATAAATAAATAAAAAGAAATAATCAAAGAGATAATTAGGGAGAAATTTGATTTTTACAATAATTTTTTTCATTGAAGAGATAATTATTGATAATAAAATAATTAAATTTAAGGAATTGGACTTATTTTAATAAATTGGATTATTCCTACTATAGACTCAAAAAAATTAAACTTATATCAAGTTTCCCCTAATATTTATAAGTATTTGATATGGTCAAATATAATTGTCGAATATCATTACAGCATATATGACCGTTAATTGATAATTATACTATTTACTCATCACTATTGTAGCAAAATTCAATTAGATAGTTCTTTTTGTAGATTGGATAACATCTTCTTTAATTATATTCCTCGAAACCTGTAAGGAAGAAGTTTGGCAGCTTATAAGTATCAAATTAGCAGTTACTTGGACATTGTGGAAGTTGCTGTATAAAATAAGCATCTCTTTACAAAAAAAAACCTTGGCACGTTCCTCTCTGTTTGGTCCTTCGTCTCTCAGAATAATACAGATTAGTTAGTAATATCCGACCTCAAAATACACACTAGAGTACAATTTACTGTAAATGAACATCCAACACGCCGACACCAAAATCTTGACCAACAGCTTTTGCTTTTTCTTACGACAAGATAACCTCTTTCAGTTGCAGGTCAATGCTACGTTATGTACATTGGATTTGGAGAAGGTTTACCGTTTTTTACTCTTGAAGAAAGTTAAATGTCAATGCCTAGTGCAATGCAATGCCAATAGGAACGTCCATTTCTTTTCAAATATATAATTTTTAACTTTTAGTTTTTAGGGAACGAAAAGATGTGTTCTGGCATTAACTGAGAAAAGAGTTCATGTGAATTGCCAAGTCACAAAAAGTTCTAATAGAGAAATCGCCATGAGTTATATTTTGTAGTGGGATAACTTGAAATGGTCGAGTATTAGAGTTATTTGGTTCGTGTCTTTTATTTGTTTATGGTGGTTCATGATTTTCTTAACTAATACAAGAATTAAAACATTATATATATTATTCGTGTTTTATAATTTGTAAATAAATGCTTGAAAAATTAGTTTTAAATTGATTTGAAAAATAGTTGATTTAGTTTCCATTCATTATCTTCGACCTTATTTTTTATTTTTCTGATTTATGACCCCTCTTATTTCAAGTAAACATGCAATTATTTTATATAAAAACCAAGAAGAGTTCAACTCTTGCTTGGCAAAGAAACCTAAGTGAGGAAACGAGCGAGCCCCTTCTCCCTCTCACACACAAAAACACACACCTCCTTTGCTCTTTAGTTAATTCGGCCCCATTTGTGTCAATGTGACGAATTTTATTAGACAAACGTACAAGTCCGAAAAACGTGACAACCCTACCCAATATTCTCTCGTTGCCCTCACCTTCATGTTTCAAATAGAAATAAGCAAAGCAACTTGTAATTTAATTGTCAGCGACAAATTAAGTACTTTATTATTGTCCATACAACATGACTCCCAACTTGCAAGTTTCGGTCATATACATAATTTTAAGTTTGAACAAAAGCAAGCATGCCCATGTGCCTACACAGAGAGCATGCCAAACAAGTACGTAGAAGCAAGTGTAAATAAACATTGTGGAAGTGCCAAAATGCATACTTTTCTTTTTTACTTTTTCTAATTGTGTTAGCGTACACACACACATACAGGGGCACACTCCTTGTTAGTTTTGTTATTTGATCTATTCAATAAATTCGATCCGATAGCCGAAAATTGAAAGTGGTACATGAGAGGTAAAAAGAAGTTTGTGAATGGTATCGCCCTATATATATTGAGCTCAATAATTTTTATAAAAAAAGGGTTATTGTCCTCGAGTCCCTTCGATCCGCTTCACTCTCCCCATTGCATATTACTACGTGCTTCTCTTTCTCCTTTTGCCTTGCATTGTTTGCATGCTCCCATATAGTAATTTATGGCTGAAAATTTCACAGCACTGGTAAAAATATGGAGAGAGCCACGTTTGTTTGCAGGGGTTGGGAGGAGACAGACACACCACAAGTAAGCAAAGGTGGAAACATTGCATAAATTAGGGCGGATGGTGCTGCCGTGCTAGTGTGTAAGGGTCCCATTTGTGGAGACATGTTTTCACAGAAACCATTAGAGGTCAACATGCATGCATTTCTGCCTTTAAGATGCTTAGGGTTTCAACTTTCAACTACCCCTTTTTGAGTTTTGGGATGTAGCTTCAATGCTACGTAGCATTCAGTTATATAGGCATTTTAGTCATTATATTTGATTTCCACAACTGTTAAATCTTTTATTTTCAATCTCAAGTTCACCAGGTCCCAATCTGTTTTTTCATTCTTAAACCTTGTTCCGTTCCGTCCCGTCTGCATACCGGTAGCTTAGTGAACAAGAAGAAAAAATAAATAATTTTATTTAAATAAAAATTTAAAAAAATATATATAATTCCCTCTCAGAGAAAAGAATACGGCCCATTTAGCAGCAGACCAAGAAGTGGAAAGGTGAAGATATAGAGGCCCAGATGGCATTTGGAAAATGCTCTCTTTCTTAAAAAGCATTTAGAAGCGCTTCTTAAACAAGCACCTTGCAGATGCTCGCCCAAAACGGCACTAAAAAGTACTTAAAACTCATAAGCACTTTTTATATTTTTTTCGCCGGACGCCATCAAAGATGCTTTCATTCTGTGCCCGTCACCCGATTCCACAACAGCCAAGTTAACGATTTTACCGACCAACCTAACAAAATGAGCAGCTCGAGACAACACGAAAGCAAAGAGCAAAAAGTCGCATATTTGGAGAAATGAGATTTTCATCAACACACATGGGGGGCGTAGAAACAAAAAAGTTCATCGAAAAACTTTTAGCCGTTCGAGAAGCAATCCCAAACAAACGTAGATACCTTCTCTTCACGATCTTGGTATGTTACATCGAATTGAAATTCAATCCGGAACCATAGACCGCTACTTTCCTCGACATAATCTCAGAATTGCACCGGATTTTAATCCGATTCTGCGACAAGCATTGCATTTAGGGATTGAGATTTTCTAATCTAACATCAGAGCAACAAAGTAGATGCAAACAAGCAAAAGCACGAAAATTACAAGTACTGGAAATAAGGATAAATTTTCCACCAAACTTTGAATTACTATACCACCACCTATTGAAAATAGCATTAGCTATGCTTAAGGAAGGCAAAACTACGTAGACCTCCTCCAGAACCAACGACACGACACGCAGACGAAACACAAGAACAAGCATCTTAAATCCCGGTTCCACTTCTTACATCTATTTATTTACTATTACCATAACATTCAAGCATGCTAGATTGATTTCCCAAAGACAAGAAGACGCCCCTAGCCCATGGCATACTTCTGGGTCCAGGATCGAGCAGTAGTCTCATACTTCTGTCGATCAGTCTTGTACATGTGCGCAATCTCAGGCACCAGAGGATCATCGGGGTTTGGATCTGTCAGCAGGGAGCAAATGGAGAGGAGGACCTGCACGAAGAAACAATCAGTTTCTATGTAGATGAGCATCAATATACAATGACACTGAAAATAAGGAAAATAAAAATGGCACGAGACAAGTTTGTTACCTTGGAAATGGTCAGGGCAGGACTCCACTGCTCCTTGAGGATGTCCAGGCAGATACTACCATTGCTATTGATGTTCGGATGGTAAACTTTTGTTCGGAAGGCAACCTGCCCAATGCACAAATAGTGAGCATGCTATGAGCGTTATTATCCCCAAATAAAAACAAAACAATACTCCGATCCAATTGCATTGAAATAAAAAAACATAACGCAATTTTTTGCTTCTCTAGTTTGTATTGTATACGAAGGGAACCGGTGAATAAAAATTTCAGGGAAGATATACCTTGGGTGGCTTGAAAGGGTAATCAGGAGGGAAGTGAATGGACACGAGAAAAACACCACCTGAAAACGGGCTTTCTGCGGGACCCATAATTGTTGCTTGCCAGTGGAACATATCATCAGCAACAGGACCTGTTGAAAAAGAAAAACTTTGTTACAAAACATACTTAAAACAGTAACACTATGTAAACATCAATAGTGGCATGATGGCAACTCTAAGGAACCTGGTTCTTTCGCAAAACATGGTTAAAGGAGTTACATGCAACCTCCAAAAATAACCAATACATCCACCAAACCAAAAGAAGACAAGGTAATACTGGCATGATGGCAACTCTAATTAAAATAATCATACACTCAGTCCTAGGAAATACTATGGGGGAATTTGCATTTAAACAAAATGCCGAAGACAATGCATTGGATACTACAACACGCTTATCTAAAGCGAGAGCGAGCGAGTTTAAAAGTCCACTTTAACCAAATGCCCAAGATAACAATCAATGCACAAAAACAACCTTTTCATATTTATAGATAAATGAATCTCATCACATATTCATTTCAAATGTGGAGTCTCTAATATCATTCTTTGATTGTAAATAAGCTAAACTCCATGTGAATAATCAATGAGAACAATTTTTCATATAACCTCGAGGAACAAAAAAACAAGAAGAAAAAAAATGATATCTAGGAAAAGATGAATACTTACAACTAGCAACTGAAGTTCACATAGACAAAATACCAATTGACCAGAACATGTACATAACAAATGAAACATTTAAAAGTAAATGAGAGAATAGAAAAAATACCTGCACTGCAAGAAGCGGGCGGGTCTTTCTGGAGATCCTTCAGCTCCTTGTTGATCCTCTTTGAAGCCATCACAAAACTACAACAATGTGCTGCAAGGTTAAACACAATAACGGTCAAAACAAATACTCCATATAAGATACATCTGATTGCATTGCAGTGTTGCACAACCAAAAATGGAAGGCATTGAACAAACGTGAGATTCTGTGCCAACATCTATATACACCAATAAAAAGTGTAAGGGTCACGAAATCCATTCACCTGTACCATCAACACACCCACAACCAACCACCTGATACATACAAATTTAACATTCCAAGTGCCTCTTTCTCCTAAATCGAATCGGGTGCCTAAATTGATAGGAAAAAACTAATAGGATGGTCATAAAATTAAATCAACTCACAATTTCACATCGAAATCTTTATTTATCCCGGTACTATAATCAACCAACAAACCCTAGGGTTCAGAATTCTAAAACTTGAAAAACAGAGCATTTCGAAATCGAAAAAGCCAATCATTCAACCTATATACTTCGATCATTTCATTGCATGAAAAGTAAAACAAAATCACCGTTCCAAAAGGAAATTTAAACAAAATTCAAAACAAACACAACAACCAAAACGATCACTAAGAACCCAAAAAATATGAAATTTCCCATACAATCGTTCGACATATCAACAATCCGAAACAATTAAGGAGAAAAAAGCATAAGAATTCGATAATCGAAGAGGCGATAGGCTCACCGGCGATTTGGCTAGGGTTTTCTGGTTGGGTTTGAGGAGCTTCTGCTTCTAGAGAGAGAAAGAAGAGCGAGAGAAACTCTCCGAGTGAGAGCCGTAGAGCGAGTGAGAGACGCAGGAGTGGCCTTCGTTGGGGGGTTTCCCCATTATATATAGTAGGGAGATTATAGAGTGTGGGCGTTTCCATTTGAACTCGGATTTGATTGTGGCCGTGTTTCTTCCCGCCACGTAAGCTCCCGATTCGGCACCTTTTTATTTGTCGCCTATTTTCTTTTTTATTTATTGTCATCTTTTTGTTGGATTATTATTTAGGGTTATTTATTATTGAGAGTGACGAGGAATCTAGAAAAAATGAGAAGCTTTATAGATTCTGTGTTATTTTGTATTTTTTACACAATGTTATATATTGTTGATGTATAAATTGAAATTAAATTGTGAGGTGGTAGAGAGTTCATGAAACGTCTCACTTTTTATTTTTGTCACAATGTTATATATTGTTAGCATTTCTCTTTTTGTTAATTTATATAAAAACCCAACATAAATTATTCAGAAACGAAAAGAAAAACTATTTCAACACATGCTTTTTAACCATATATGCACCTTTTTCATTTTTATTTAATTTATTCAAATCAATGACTAAAATATCAATAATAGTGGACATAATAAGAGGTTACAATAATATAATACAATTTAGATGTTTAATGAGATTATCGATCATAAAGGTGGACATAGCTACGTTGAGTAGTACAAATGTGCTATTTTCTATGTATTTTAGTAAAAATTCCTTCTGTTTGGTAACTGTTTCGTTTGTTTTTTTTTATAAACAATAGGATATCTACATTAAACCACGGGGAGGAAAACTATTAACCAACTTTTCGAACAGTTTAGTAACTATTTCGTTATATTAGTTTTGTGTTAAAGATATAGAGTGCTTGTAAGACTAGTTGATAGTGTACTTTCCGCTCAGATAGATGAGAAAAATGATAAATGAAGAAGAGTGAAGAAAAGATGAAGAAGCCTTTGCAATTACCTATTATTAATACCATCTTCTTTGCAAAGAAAGCAAGAGAGATTTTTTTTAACAAACAATATTATCTATATTAAAGGGGTGGAGGAGTGAGCTAAGCATCATAATGAGTTAGCAATAATGTGGTTTAAATTCGTATTTTATGAGAATCAAACCTAAAACCTCTTACTTACAAGTGAAAAAGAATACTAATAGAATACAAAATGGCAAGATAGATTTAAACCTCAAATATGATGATGGGACATGGTTGGACTTGGACATCAGAAATGATGAAACTTTAGTGGCATAGGAATATCCCCAAAGCACGATTGGAAGTTGCTTTCACTTACGTTTATGGCTCTACAAAATTTCGAATGATAGGATGTGACAAATTTGATCATGAAATGTAATTAATATTAAAAAGTGTTCCATGAAAAATGTGTAGCTTAATTGATTAAAAGTATTTATGCATTTGAAGTTCCGTGCTTTACTCAATTCATCCTGAATATCGCATATATAAATATAAAAAATACATTCAAACGTGTGCATAGATTACACCGCTAACTAATTGTGAATGGTAAATTACGCCACTATTTAATTGTGAATGAGACTATGAGTAATAAATTAACTGGAAGTGTTTTCTTTGATAAAACAACCAGCTAGCCTCTTTAAAAAAAAAATAACGTTACATCAACCATTCATGTGAAAAGTGAATGACTAACAATGCAACAATAAATGCATGGCGGCTCACATTGAAAACTGTAAAGGCAGCCCACTTAGGAATGAGCAACAGTTATGACGGACGGGTAATCGTGATTATTTATCTGAAAGTTCTAGGATGGGTACTAGTTTAACCTAGAGGGGGTGAATCGGTTCCAATTTAAAAATCCAATTCATTTTCAATTTAATTTTAAGTTCTCAAATTAATTCCACATTCACATCACATATAAACTATCCTACACATATGCAATTATAAAGATAAATAAAATGTGCACACAGGATGTAGGATTTAACGAGGCAAAACCCACCATTGGGAAAATCCTCGGGCTTCCAAGCCAGGACAAACACTAAGAGAAATGAGTACAGAAAGACTTACAAAACTCATCAACTAGACACACATACTAGTAGGCAGTTTTGTCTCTGCGCTTTGCTACTCGATTTCTCTTCAGCCTTCGAGTGGAAGTGGCACGACACTAACGCGGCCGTCAATCACTGTCGCCTCGAACTTTGCAGGATACTAACGCGATCATGCAGAGTGAATGTATGATGTTATGATTTTTGAAAAACAATCAATTACGAAAATCACAAGGCACATTTTCATAATTGATTTCTTGTTAAAGCACGATAAAAATCAGTGATTAAAATAAGAATTAAACTTTTGAAACCGCACACATGCAAACTGATTTTTCTCTCTCAAAATACTTGAAAACCATTCTCTGTGTCATGGGCTGCTATAAGATTTTTCTCTCAAAAATTATTTCATAGACTAATAGCAACGTACAATTAGAATATCAATACACATGCCACATTAGAACAGAGAAAACGAAAACTGGGATTATGATGCAGACTCGTGAAAAAACCTAGAGCATGAAGTAATGTCTTTCCAAAACAAATGACACAGCAACAACTTGAAATCCTTACTCATGCATATGCGGCAGCCATAAACAAAACCACAGAACCTACTTTAATGCATGATGCGCCCAAAACCCCGAACCCTATTGTGCTGCATTCGGTATTATATATGCTCTGTTTAATCCCGTGTGTGTTATGCGGCAACTCTAAAACCCTAACCTAATGCATCTATAAATAGACTGTAGTAGAAGACTTTAACTTGATTTCAAATTCCTTAAGATTGGAATGACATGTTACCAGATAAAAATTAAAACCAATAGGAATTATCAATATGCTAAAGGTGCAAATGTACAGATCAACAAGTAGTCTAGGAGCATGCGGCTAATTAAAAAGACATGGGCTTTTAATTAAGATAATGAAATCATAATTAAAATATCAAACTAATAAATATGAGAAGCCCAAACCTAAATAATCCATTTAACATAGACTTGGACTATATGAATGTATATGCATGTCAAATTTACCTGAGTGGATGTCTCTGAAACGCTTGTCATTTTGTGATCGAGAGCACGTGAGACAAACTTAGACTAAAATAGTTACAACTGAAATAAGCACTAGTCTAAGATTACAGACTCGGCGTTTTGTTTAGGAATAGCCAATTTTACCTAACAATCTCCCCCTTTGGCATTTCCTAGACAAAACCCTCAATCACAATATTACAGACAACTAATAAAATTAACGACCATGCATAACACGTCTGTAACCTGCACACACTTAAACAAGAAAACCTGTGACGTACAAAAGATATACGTTGCTAAAAATGAAAGCATTTATCTATAAAAGCAAGGAACCAAAAACAATCAGGTTTTCGAAATTCTACTTCTCCCCCTAAATATAAGCTTCCTACTTCTCCCCCTTTTTGTCTAGAAAGGTCAAAGGCCTTAGAGGTAACCATCGAGTGCAGTCAGCGGAAGATAAGTGAAACATAACAAAATGTGATGGAAAATGATTTCTTTTCTGTGGACTAGAACCTCTTTGGAAGAATAAAAGTGGGGACGAATTTAGGAGGGAAAAGAATAACAAAGTAAAGATCGAAAGAATAAACATGGAAAGAAACGTACATCTTTCATATTGTTAAGCTCCCCCTAAACAAATGCGTTAAAAAATATAATGAAATGCAGCACGCAAATGATATGATTTTTTTTTTTTTTAATTGTATTAGAAGCATATAATTGTTCCAACAAGAATGAAAGAGTGCAAAAACACATGTAGTTCTGAATCCTCATTTACAACCTAACATTGTCCCTAAAACATAACATGTATGAGTGTAGTTGCAAGTATAGCCGAAAGTTGATACTACACAAATGTAATTAAGTCTTACATGACCAACTTAACTTTAACCCTTAAGCTCACAAGATATACGCTCGAATTTTCATTCAAAGTGTTTGGGGGTAAGTGTATACGCTCAAAAGATCATTACATGAATGCTCTACCATAGGCTTGCAAATTGATCGCATCTACACACATCAAAAATTACCTTCTTTGGATCAAGTAGGTCTTTGTTAAGGGTGTAATGGGGCTTCGGGTACTCAGTTAAAGAAATGAAGGATATAGGAAACACAAAGTCTAAGAAAACTAATAGAGTAGTTTGAAATGAAACCAAGAGAGAAATACAACAACGAACGAGGTAACTTAGCACTCAATTGAACGGTTAGATTTAAGACATGAACGACATACAACCGCACAATTCATTTCAGATGATTCTTGCTCTTCATTTAGACCAACACACTTGATTTCTTATAATGCTGGCAGCTCACTTATGATTCATAGTGACTTCTTTTCCTCTTTTCTTCTTTTGCTTTTCATGTGTTGTTGGCTTTCTTCACAAAATTTTGCATCTTCAACTTTTAAATAACATTGAACTCTCTCATTTGAAAAACGTACTCTACTAGCTTCTTAGTAGGGTAGGGAATTTTTAATGTAAGAGGCTAGGTAGGGAAAATGTAGGTTTAAGAACAAAAGACTTACACATAGGCTCAAAAGGGTTAACTAGGGGAAAACATATAAGGCACTGGCATATATGGCAATGACGGTAAGTCCTAATGCCTACTATCGTCTCCAAAATATAATAATATATGATACCAAGTTTTGAGATGTCTCAAAGCAAGTTCTAGAGAAGCAAAACACATAAGATCACACACATGAAAAAAAAAAAAAGTGTATGAAAAATGCACACACTATATTTAGGCACAAAAGCTCACATGGGTGCGGGTTTTACTCAAGTTAAACATGTTCAACTTATTAACATTGATATATTATCAACAAGAGGCTATTGTCCACAACAGAGTCAAACATATCATGCTAGGGTCATGTTATCAAGTGAACAAAGCTAGAACTCATATGAAATCATACTTTTCCATTTTTCCTCATACATTTTAAAAAAAAAAATTTAAAATTTTTATTTTATAAAATTTATTTTATTTATTTTATTTTTTAACAAGAAGAAAGACAAAAAATGCAGTATTTATGTTATATGAACATGCAAGCATGCATTAATGAAAACATTTGCAAAGAGAGAGCT